GCGGGGGTCGGGTGGCTTGGTTTTTGAGTTGGGTTCAAGCAACGTGTGTGTGTGTGTTTGTGTGTGTGTGTGTGCTTGGCGGGAAAAATATACTACAATAAAACATGTATTTTTTATGCCAAACCCCCCCTCATACCCCATCCCTCCCCCTCAGTAACCCCTACATATGTACATGTATGTATGTAGCTTTTTTTTATTTTAAGGAACTTAAATGTGTAACGCTTTCCAGTGTGTGTGTGTGTGTGTGTGTGGAGAAAAGATTGGGATCAAAAACCCTTTGCAGTTAACTCTTGTCTATATATACATATATATACTATATATAGTATATATGTGTGTGTTTTTGGGGGGAAAGGGGATGGGGTTTTCCTATTATTGTGTGGGTGGAGAGCCAAGTTAGAAACCGAAATAGAAACTAAACTCAAATCCCAATCTTTAAGTGCCGGACATTTGGTTTTTTTAAATGCTATTATTTTATATAGTAAAGAATAAAAAACTATAGTAAAAAAAGATAACATAAAAAATTCGAAAACTGTTTCCTACAATGCCCAATTTCTTTAATCGGTACCCACTTTTGCTTAAATAATAGGTAGATGACATTTTTTAGTACTTAAGCATTTGAAATATTACATTATTATTTAAAGATTAACGGAAAATAAAATAGGAAACATTAAAGGATTGATATTTTATTATACCCTATACTCTATACCCTATCGAGGGTACTATAATTTTAGTCAAAAGCTTCTAACAATGTGAAGGAGTCATTTCCGATCCTATAAATCATATATATTCTTGATCAGCATTAACAGGCGGATTGATCTAGACATGATTTAAAGAAAATATAATTTTATACATTTTTTCCAAATTTTTTCAGGAGTTATATCGTTAAATGAAAAAAAAAATGATAAAATTATTAATTTTTTAAAAATTTAAATTGAGTATAGAGATTTATTTACCTAATAAAAACTAGCATAGGACAGCTTTCCGATTTAAAATTAATGCATTTTTGGCTTAGTTGTGAGATTTTGAATCTTGAATTGGTCAAAAAAATTTTCATATAAAAATATAGATATATTAAATATATCTGCTCAAAGAATTTTAGTTAGAAGCTTGTAATGCAGAGAAGGAGTCATTTCCGACCTCATAAATCATATATATTATGGATCATGATTAAAAGGCGAGCAGATCTATTTGTATTTTAAAGAAATTTTTTTTTCCAAAAATGATAAGGATTTACATCATTAAATTTTCAAAAATTTCCAAAAAATTCAGGTTTTAAACTGAGTAAGCAGTTTTGTTAACCTATTTAAAACTAACTTAGAAAAGCATAGAAAAATTGAAATTTTGTTAGTATTTTAAAACTTTAATTGGGCAACCTAATTTTCATTTAAGAATGCGAATATTTTAAGCTTAGCTTAGCTTTTGATCCTTTAATTCAATTGCACGCTGAAAGGATATGTAAAAATTGGCTTTTTGAAGTTAGTTTTATTTATTGTTTTACGTTAAATATTTTGAAAAATTATAGTGAATCTTGAAAACATGTTACTTATATAAGTTATGTATGTTTTTCTTTTGTATATTTACTATACTTTATATATCAATCATCGCCCAGAAACACATATACCCATTTATCCATTTCCATATATACTTTTTAAGTGCATATAGCTCTCTTTTATATACTTTCTGAAGAAGTCCTTTCTTCCTCAACATTTTATACTCATTTTTTTTTTGCCTTTTCTCCTTGTTTTTTTTTTTTTTTTGTTCCATCTGGTTTGTGTTTTTCTTTCCTTTTTTTGTGCAATTTATTTGCCAGTGTTCTGATGTTTTTTATTTCGTTTGGTTTTTTCTCTGTTTTTTTGCAGTTTGTGTTTTTTGTTTCTCAACTTTCCTTTGGCATTTCTTGTAGCTGCAAAAAAGGTGAAGCGAAATTTGCTTTCGCATTCTGTTCGCGAGCTGAGCTGAGCTGAGCTTCTTTCTTCAGCAGCTTTTTCTGCAGCATTTTAACGCTCCCTGCTTCTTCTTCTTCTTGCTTGCTGATTTTTTTTTTTTTCTGAGACCCAAGCTGGAGTTTCTTTACTCTTAATGTCCTTTTCCCTAAATGTCAGAGTGTGTGTGTGTGTGTGAGGTCCATTTTGTACACTGGACATAAAACGCAGCTAACATAAAGTTCTTATCCCTTCCCCTTTTTATCCTACCCTTTTTTTCATTTTCATTTCTTGTTTTTTTTTTTTTTGTTGCTTTCTCTTACCCCTTGTGCTATTAGTACTAAAAGCAAGAATGCGTTTTACGAAAATAAAAAAAAAAGGAAAAAAGGAAACCCAACCGAACCAAGTTTAAGAGACAAAAAATCCAAAAATTTGTTAGCAAATATATATATATATATATATAAAAAAAAACGAAAGAAAAAAGGGTAACAAAATTGTTGGGGGAATTCTTAAAATTTATTGCCTTAACCAGGGTAAGGGTTAAAGTGGGCGCTCCTTGAGGGGGGTGTGTGTGTGTGTGTGGGAAAAGGGACACTACCCAGTATATATATATATATATGGACACAACTCTATCATCCTTTTTATTATATGCTATATACCTGTTCACATTATATTGTGTATATATATAACATATATCCTCTTAAGGACATTGTCCACTATCTGGGAAAAGGGGGACTCATACTCGCTTATTAAAACCTTTTTAGCCAGGTTTTTCCAATTGTTAATTCCAGCTTAAGATAAAGGTTTCTCAGAGAGTTTAAAGTTAAAGACTTGTAACCAAATTAGGTTTGATTCACATCTTTAAATAGAAAAAAGTATAAAATAAATATGACCATGCAACCTTTATTAAATGAATGCAACCCTGCAGTGTCATAATGCCACAAAATATTATTAAATCTTCTAATTAATCCTTTTATGAGTGGAAGTAAAAAAATGAAGTGTCATAATGGCTTAAGACACGATTAAATATACCTTCAATAAATATAATTTTGTAAGTTAATTAAACCAAGTTTTTATCCAATAATTTTGTAGTAATTTTTATTAAATTATGTTCTCCTCGAACTTAAATTTCATATATCGAAATATTAAATATTAAAAAAATCAAGGTTGACCATGCTTTAGTTAATGTAACCATCAAAGCAGTGTCATAATTACAGATACAATCTATATTTCATTTAATAAACTTACTCTTCCTTGTTAAGACATTTAATTAATAGAGTTCTGGCTCTACTTTTCATAGTTATTGTTCAGTTATTATGGAATATGGTATGGAATTTTTGTTGACCAGCCACAAAGATGAAAATCAATTTATTTCGCTCTTTCGTCACGTCGATTTTTACCAATTACGATTTCTGTGTGTATGGAATCTGTGGAAATCGACAACAAAAGGGATTTTATAATTGCTCTTTTCATTCACATACATATATGTTTATATATATGTATATATGTTGATTTTATATTATTTTTATTTTTTGTTCGTGTTCATACCTTTGCGTTTTAAGTATATTGACAGATCTGGCGGAAAAGCAAAAGGGAAATTGTGTTTTTTATTAAGCGTCAACTCATTTCACACATGTACTCGTACTTTTCATATATGTATATATACAAGATATATATTTTTATATACTTTATATTACATAAATGCATGTGTGTGGGGGCTTTGGGGGAAGTAGTGACAAACAAAATAAAGTTTTACCTTGCGCATAATATTTGCGATGCATAAAAGTGTGCACCAGAAAGAAAAAAATTATGAAAATTCTTTATGTGTACAAAATGGGGGAGGGGGAAGGGGGAGGGGCTGGGGAAAATAATAATAAAATGAAACGAAAACGAGAACGGACATTTTTATGGTGCTCTTGCACAGAGAGAGAGTCAAAGCGAAGGAAAAAACTACCGCCCCCCTTTTTTTTCCCAGTGACTGGAAGTCATTGGCGCTGCTGCTGCTGTTGCTGCTTCTTTGTTGCCAGGGAAATGGAGCTGGAAAAAACATCTCGCCATTCGATGAGTGGCAGGCAGGAGGAGAGTCCTCCTCCAGGACGATTCCTGCCACACTCTTTGCTCTGCCCTGCTTTTTTCCCGCTTCTCTCATAGCACATGCTGAGCATAAAGCGGGAATTTCGATTATTTATTTGGTCAAAAAAAAAGAAACAAAATTGCAATGAATTTAATTCGAAAAATACCTTGGAAAAAAAGGGGGGAGGGACAAAGAAAGGAGAAGAGACGACGTAACACAAGGCGGCAAAAAACGTGTTCATTAAATAGTTAAAAAGCTGCATGTCCTCCGATTGACATTTACACATAAATGCCCCAGCGAAAGGATTCGGTTTGGGGATAACAAGTTTATCGATACGAATACGAATGCTTTTACTGTTCAGAGCCAGAAGATACAACAAAAAAAACACCAATAAACGGTTCCAAATCCCTGGAAAATTGTATAAATATAACAGAAAAAGTCAATTTACGAGAGGGTCCCAAAAAGAAAGTAGAAAAAAGTAGAGAGAGATAAAGAACTTATTATCAGAATTCATATTTGAATTGTATTGAAATTTGAAGGGAAGAATTATTATATAATTTATACTGATTTACCTTCTTATAAATAAATGTATAAATATTTGTATGATTTTTACGGTTATTTATTGTATTTAAATTTAAGTTACTTTAGTTTGCTAACTAAAATGTTTGATTTTAAGCTTTAATCGTTTTTTTTTTTTGTAGTTTAAACTAATAAATTTAAATCCATTTACATTTTCCTGTAGGCACTTTATGCAGGGTTGCCTCTCAAGCAGGCCTATCGAAACAATAACCTATCGATATGTACACAGGAAACTTCCTTAATCGATAGACCAACCTTTTGACTTGACTAATCAAAAAAAAAAAACTAGGCCAAATCTAAACCTTTTTAACTGAGACGTGGTTTAAAATGCATTCCATATGATTGAAAGCTATATTATTATTAAAATTAATAATATCTAAATATATATTTAATGAAATCTTTTATTTTCGAACTATATCTTCTAGATAAATAATACTTAGGAGTAAGAAAAGTAGGAGAAGAAGCACTGCCAGTGGAAGACGAACTCAGCAAGACATCCTTGAACTAGCATTACCACCATCCGGGGCAGGAACAGGCGCGGCATCATCATGTTGCCGCAGCAGTACTGCCTGAGATGGAAGTACCATCATAGCAATCTACAGACCATGTTCTCGCAGCTCCTGGATCGAGGTTGCTTCTGCGATGTGACCCTGGCCTGCGAGGGTCAATTGATTCGAGCCCATCGCGTGGTCCTTTGCGCCTGCAGCACCTTCTTTGACACGGTGCTCTCGAATTATGCCAGCGAAAGGGATCCAATAATCATCATGAAGGATGTCACCTTTGCAGAGGTCAAGTGCCTGATTGAGTTCATGTACAAGGGCGAGATCAATGTGGAGCATGTAAGTGGTATTTAAGAGGGGATTTAACAGCTGAATTCTTTACTAAATTATATTTTAAATGTCCAGGCTAGTCTCCCCTCGCTGCTAAAGACCGCCGATGACCTTAAGATCAAGGGCCTGGCCGAGGTAACTTGGCGAGATGATGAGGACGGTCCACCGCCTCCCATGGCCGCTGCTGAATTCCATTCACCGCCGCGTGGTTTGGCAGAGAGCTTTGCCCAGGACCTGCTTCTCCAACAGCAGCAGCAACAACAGGGAGCTTCGTCGCATCTGCACAGCTCCAATCTGATGGATCGAGAGCGAGAGAGGGAGCGCGATAGGCTATCATCGCCTGGCATGGAGAGTGTGCTGGGCCGCATGCCCGTGATGACACCCCATCCGGGAGCAGCTAACCCTGGTGGAGTTGGAGGGGGAACGATAGGTGGCGGTTCGTCCTTGGAGGGCACAGCACCCGTGGAGCACTATCTGGGACCCAAACGCAAGCGAGGACGTCCGCCACTAGACGATGCCTACGACGTGTTCAATGTGTGAGTTTAAAATTCCTCAAAAAGTAAACATAAATTAATAAATAAAACTAATTTTAACAGCCGCAAGCTGGCCCAGTATGCCGCCAACCTGGAGCCCGCTCAGCGCGCCTATTTGGAGACAGCTCGACATTTTGCTGAGGAGCCCCCCATGGTGGCCCATTCCGCCTCGCTGGCCTCCCCGCCAGCTGCCTGCCCGCCCAAACAGCGCCAGCGCCTGCGCAATCAACAACAACAACAGCAGCAACAGCAGCAGCAGCTTCTCCAGTCGGAGGCTACTGAGCAGGAGGCGAGAGTTGGCCAGGAATGGGCCCAGACAAATGAAGAGTCACGTCGCAGACCCACCACCCCCATGATCACCACCGATAGCAGCGGCGACAACAAACAGGAACCGGAGGCCACCGTTGGTACCGATGAGTTGGATCCAGAAGTTCTCACTTCCAGCGGTGTCAACGCCAAGAAGCCGGAGAAGGTTAACGAGCGACGTGAGCGTCATGGCAAGCTGCGTCATGCTCGACGACTTTACGAGAAATCAACGTCGTCGTCATCGTCAGCGGGACAGGATGGTCCCGTTTCCTCAGAGACGAAGAAGGAGAGTTCAGGCGTTGTTACCCTGCCGCAGTCGGTGGAGGAGATTGAGAATGAGCATTTGGTGGCGAACAGAGGTGAATCACCGCGCCCTGCCGCCTCCCTTTTACCAACCAGCATTGCTGCCTGCAGTTATGAGGCCGGAGCAGGAGGAGGAGGTGGTAGTGGTGGTGGTGGGAGCAGTGGATCCGGCTCCTCTTCCTCCGGCTATTTGATCAACGAACACGGCATAATAATGGCTCACGAGTTTGCCCCTAATGCTGCGGCTAGTGCAGCAGCAGCCGCCACAGCTGCCGTTGCCGTGGCAGCTGCTGCAGCTGTGGCAGTGGCCGCCAGTGCATCGGCTGCCTCCTCATCATCAACATCAGCCGGCGGTAGCCAACAAGAGTCCGGCGGTGATTATCCAGACATTAAGTTAGAGGATTACGATGCCGCTGAGCTGCGGCTGACGAACGAGGAGCTGTCGCAGTGGCAGGATGTCATCAAAATGGACGACTATCTGGCCAAGGGCCGGCGTCCCCAGTTCTGGGAGGAACCTTTCACCAAGCGTGTAAGTAGCTGCTAAGCTTCGGATGGTTTCCTAGGTTAATATATGTATTTTATCATATTTTAACCCAGGTATTGGATGCCATTAAAAACAAAAGACTTGAGATGAAGAAGGCCGCCCGCATTCTAGGCGTTTCCTATGGCACATTGTACGGACGTTACCGTGAGGTCTACGGCTGCTTGAAGCATCCATACAGGTGAGATAGACTTCCTTTGAGAGAGTTCCATTACTAATCGTTCTCCTCTTTTAGTGGCACGGCATTCCGCAATTCTGGCTCCTCGTCCGCTGCCAGCCAGCTGGGAGGAGTGCAGCCTCGCTTCGATTTGGGATTCCGCAATGGCGGCGTCCTGCCCGCCCAGCTGGGTAAGTCGGGGGAGGGATACAGCAAAGAGGATGAGGCGCTCCAACTCACTGGGAATTAAGTTCAAACCAATTCCTACTTACAGAGCTGGGCAAGGTGAAGAAGGATGTGAGCGAGCTCTGGACAAGGCCGCAGATTTGAGGGCCAGCCATGAAAAGGAAGGCCAAGAAGGAGCAGCGACGCCGCCGGATGATCTAGGGATCTACGAGTGGATGGGAGTTGAGAAAAGACAGCTAAGAGCAGGCTAGTTTAAGATACGGATAATCGAGAACCCGCAAAGGGGGAACCTTTCCAGAAGAGAGTACCCAACTTTTTTTTTCCATTCGTTGTTTTCTTATTAAAACTGATCTTGTACGCGCATAAGGATCTTAAAATATACATTAAATAATATAATAATAATAAAAATAATACAATTTAATATATGTCTATATACGAACCGCGGATTAGTTAAATGACCTAATTATATATATATATATATATATATGAATACACAGACACACAAACGGTATTGATTGGCATTCAATGTGAATGAGATACAAAGATAAATACATAAAATATAAATACATTTTCTTTTTGGTAGTGAAAATTTTGAATAAATGAAAGAAAAACAAGAACTATAAATAATGGAATCTAGTTAATCGCGATAACAAAACACTGACGATGATGTGAATTTTTTGATAAGCTAATGCAAACGAACACAAATAATATGTATTACATACAAAACAAATATAATATATATGTTTAAAACGAAATAAATTAATATCGATTACAAAAAATTTGAATTTAAATTTGATGTACTTTCACCTGGTCACATTAATTTATAAAAGCTCGTTTTCCGTCTCTGTTAACATTAGAGCTTGCAAAATATCGATGGTTTAGCGAATATGCAAACATCGATAGTATCGATAGCGCTCCGATTGCATTACCACTACAGCTGTTTAACATAGCGTCTCTCTGCAAATTTGTGCGCTTTTTCTCCTTTTTTGTTTGGTTTTGTGTTGAAATTTCAAAATGCTGCTAAAGATTTTAGAAATTAATGGCGTCAAGTACTTAACATCGTGTACGGTGTCGAGCTCTCACTTGCTTACTTTTTATTGCCACAACGAGAACGAGCCCCAAACATTTACCGAGTCTTTTCCATACCAAGAATTCCAGCAACGCTTAATGGTGAGCATCTATCTCCGTTTCTCCAAATATATGGTGTAATTTACGTTAATATATCACCTCATTCTTGCACAGCGCCTGAATCCTCGCGTTAAATTCCCAGAAAACGCTGTGAAAGAGACACTTTTGGAGAAAAACTCCGCACAGGCTACAATGGCGGCGGGCCCCGATGCGGCCGGCGTCTGGGTGCTGGCCTTGAAGTATATGATGATCGGAACAACGGTGCCCCTTAAATGGGAGTGGAATCTCAAGCCCATGGATTCGGTCGATGTGAGTGTTGTTGGTTTAAGCATGCAGAAAAATCAAGGAAACTTCTACCAGTCTCTCTCTCTTTCTCTCTCTCTCTCTGTCTATTGCTTGCCGCTAGTTTGTATGAGACAGGGAGAGAAAGAGAGGGCACATACATGGTTGCATGCTTGCATACATTTGCAGAACATCTTGCTTTTACTTCAACAAATCAAACTTTACCTAATTTTAAGAAATGTAGCACACAGTTTAACAAATTATTACAACTTATAATGTCTTTATGGCATGTTACATAGTTAAATGTAAATCTAGAACACGTTTAGGGTTCAATAAGAATAATTTAGATAGTTTTTAGCTGAAATATCCTTTGCAGACTAAAGAATTCATATCTCCAATACATTATAAAACTCTTCATGCAGTATTTTCACATCACAAGTAATCACAAGTTTGCAACTCAATGGTTTCCATTTTTGTACCCTTGCAGGGTATTAAATTTTCAGTCAGAGGCTTAAAACTATGTGAAGGAATCATTTCCGACCCTATAAATCATATATATTCTTGATCAGCATCTTCAGCCGAGTCTATCTAGTTATCTCTTGCAAGAAAAAAAAAATTAACCAATTTTTTCAACATTTTGTACATCGTTACATCGTTAAATTTGTCAAAAAATTGATAAATTTTTAAATTTTTTAAAATTATAAATCGAGTATGCAGATTTGTTAACCTACAAAAAACTGGCATAGAAATGCTTTCTGAGTTAAAATTAATGCTTTTTTGGCTTAGTTATGGTCGATTTCATGCAGGATTTTCTAATCAAATTTCAAGGGGCTCCGGTACATAGTTTCCTTACTTATTTCATCATCAAATGTATTTTCTTGTTTAATTAGAAAATACAATTTAATTATATTTATTATTTTGTGCCTAGTTCTATCGTTATTTGCTAGTGGACGCTATAGATGTAGGTCATGAACTGCATGTTGTTATCAAGACCTTGACGAAGGACCTCTGCGCCAAGGACAAAGAGTTGGAGCAGTATCGTAGAGAGGGATGTCAGCTGCGTAGAAGTAAGTTTTAAAGCCAAGATCTTGCGTCCTATTATATTATTTTATACCAATATAACCCTTTAGCTACGGTGAGGACCAAAACCTTCGATTTGTTGGAATTTGAAGAAGACAACAAGGATTTGTTTGAGGAAGCAACTGCATACAACGAGATAAATGATGTCTTCTCCGAAGTTCCTGGCTCCTCTTCGGGCGAGGTGTCATCAACATCGACCACGCCATCAACAACCTCATCCTCTAGCTGGAATGCTTCGGGAAGACCTACTAGTTCTTCGGCTAGCTCCAATACTTCGGAGAAACCTACTAGTTCTTCATCCAACACTCCAGAGAGAATTAGTTCTAGAAGCGCTATAGCAGCCCGTAACAGGTTCGTCTTTTGTTATAAAAAAATTTGTATCAAAGGCATGTTTGTAATATCTTTTATTACATTCACAGGAAGCGCAAGGCTGAAGCAATGACTATCAGCCGTTTGGAGGAAAAGATCAAGCAACGCGTGCTGAATCCTGAAGTGAAGTTCAATTCACAAAGTTCACAGGAGGATGAAATGGTCGATTGGCTGGTCGAGCGCTCGAATGCTCGAAAAAAAAAGCAAGAGTCAGCGTCAGGATCAAAGACAGTGCCACAACCAGTGCCAAGTCCGACTATCAAAATAGAGACAGAGGCTCCAAAGGTTCCCAAAGCTGAGGTTGTTGAAGTAAAGACTGAGAAGGCAGAAGAGCCAGAGGAGTCTACAACTATCGCAGAGGAAAATAATAATGAGACTCTTACTGAGAGCGATCAGGAGCTTAAGGAACTACGTGCGATCCTGGCCGTCTCCATGGCTCAGAAACGCGAGCGGCAGCCTCAGAAGTAGCAGATATACTTTCAAACCAGGAAAACAGGTGCTATAGAATTTAAGCCACCATTTTTGTTTTTTTTTTTTTTGGTAAATGTACATTTGAGATGTACAATTTGACATGAAACAAGTCTCCCCACTGATAAAGGGACATACCAAAGACGATACCCAGAGAGATTGCTTGCAGTTTGCCACGAAGGGCATTAAGTACCTTATATTTTTATTTTGTTATTTTTACCATCAACTGGGTATTGTTCGAAGGCTGGAAAAATCAAAGAAAGAAATTGAACTGAAAGGGGAAGAGAAGAGGGGAAATGAAGAGAACTGTACAACTTTAATTTGTTATATGTACGCGATTCATATTTTTGTTGTCTTTTTTTAACGACCAACTGAACATTGTTCCAAATCTCGCAAAAATGCAGAACGACACAAGTTTAAATGATAGAAACGAAGAGAAAATTAAGAAAACTGTACGACTTCTATATGTAACTTAAAATTTTTGTTGGTGCGTTACGCACCTTTAAACTTTTGTGCCTTTTTTTTTTGCCATCAACTGGGTATTATTTTGAATTTTGAAAAATCGAAGTAAAGAAACTCATTTGAATGAAAGAAACAAAAACGAAATGAAGAAGCCTACACCTGTGCGTACAACTTTAATTTGTAATTTGACGAAAATGAAATAAACATTGGATTCGTCGAAGAAAGTGTCTAAAGTGTCGTCTGATTCAGGGGAGTTGGCGAAAGAAAGGAGGTGTTGCCGGGGCGTGGCTAATCTATTCGCGTCGAAATCAAATGTGAATTTTCGCTCTGATTTGGCATTTGTTTACTTTTATGACACCTGATCGAGCCATCGGGCTCCGGGCTGGGTCTTTTGGGGGCTTTGGCAACATTCAATTTACGCACAGTTACCGATAAGATAGGACCAGAGAGGCAACCACCACAAGTAATATCAACTGGCCATAAGTCTGATGGCTCATTGCGGTAGTTCGATTCAAGAAATTCGGTCGATAATTGTAACACCGGTCCATCGACATTCCAAGAATCAAAATAAAACTATTGTTATTTTTTTAAATTGTTACTCCACATATAAATATGGATCTCGCGATTGTTCGAATTTTGCTGTCAATATCGCTTCTTTTTGGCGTTCTGGCAGCCGATGAAAGTGAGTCACAATACTTGACGGTTATCAATCCAATATTACGGCCTTAATAGTGTGGGGGCGGCAATAGTAATAGAATCGGCCATGAAAAAATAACGAAACAAATGTTTAATTACCGGGTAAAACCCACAAAATAGTTAAGGGAACTAGTTATCGCTTTAAAAAGGTTTTTTTTTTTGATTTTTTATGTGTTTATGTTCGTTATTTTTGTTTTCTGTGTAATAATTTAAGACACAAGCATATCATGTTAATCACATTGTGATAAACATAAAAGAATGGAAGTTTTATTGCAATTAAAACTAAATAATGAAGTGGGAAACTGTCATAGGATTAATAAATTAATAAGATCAATAATAATATTAATGTTAATACCAAGAACATAAAATATTGTTATAATATTTATTATTTTACATATATATCCCCTCAAAATACCAACCCATTAATATCTGCAATTATCCAAGTACTTTTCCAAGGAGTATTCACATAGCAAAAACTTCGATTAGATTGTCTTGCTTTTTTTTGTAATAAAAAGAAGCCATAAAACCATAAACATATATCAATTGACGTTAAGTATCTTTCTTAAAGCACTGAGGAAAATTTGGGGTTTCACACTTTTTGCAGGGGAAATACTTTCAGGTATTATCTATACTAACTAACACCTGCAGCAACCGATTATTACTGTTCAGTTATAGTTACTCAATAATCGGAAATGAGTCAGAATTTTCAATCGTAAAGTTGGTATATACACTGAAAACAATTTTTGTTAATTACTATTTTGGAATTTGTTTAGTAGTATATTTAAATTTAATAAGACCAATATTATGTATTAATAGCAGAAATAGGCTAATGAACCTAAGAGACTCTTGTTTCCCATTCTCTGGGTGAAAGTGCAAAAAGAGAGCGCTCTCGAGTCCGACTCCCACGTAAAAGAAGTCCCTAGTTTCCTATTGGCCGGGAGAAAGAGCAAAAAGAGAGTCCTCTAAGGTGAGAGTTCAATAGAAAAACTATTGAACTGATCAGAGAATGCCTATAATTCCCAACTCGTTATGGCATCGCCGTAATGAAGCTCAAGTTAAATGGCCCTTGAAAACCTTTTGCAGATTCTGGACCAGATGCCTCAAACGCCACTTCCGGTAAGATCGATCCCAAAATCGTCGGTGGACAAGCTGTGGATATCTCGACGGTCCCCTACACGGTATCGATTCGTCTGACCGCCAACGATAGACGCAGCTATGGATCTGGTCATCTATGCGGCGGTGTTGTGATCTCTCAGCGTCTGGTGGCCACTGCTGCCCACTGTTGCTACAAGTGAGTAACCTACTATTTCCTCTTCTTCTATAATATATAATAATACTATTATATCTTTCAGTTCCGATACCAAAAAATATCGAACGGCTGGCGAATATTTTCTAGTCATGGGCAGCAGCACTCTGCGAACGAAAACCGCCAATACCCAGGAGTACTATGTCCAGCAGCTAATCATTCATGCAGACTACAACCACAACACGCTGACCAATGATATTGCCCTTATGTTCATCAATGGTTATATTCCATGGAACTCTCCGACGGTGCGGGCTTTGGCCTTGAATACCGGCATTGTGTCCACCGGAACCGTTTGCACCATTTCCGGCTGGGGAGTCCTCTACAGTGTGAGTAGCTGGAAATGAGGAGGAGGATCAGCTTTCATCATATAATTTATAATATTCCCATCTCTTCCACAGTCCGGCTATAGCAGCAATAGCCTGCAGGCGGCCTCGGTGCCCATTGTCACCTACGAGTCCTGTCGCTCTGCCTACGAAGTTGTGCCCATCTCACAGGTCTGTGCCGGCTATGCCAAGGGTGGCGTCGATGCCTGCCAGGGTGACTCTGGTGGACCGTTGAATTGTAATAACCAGCTGGCCGGCATTGTCTCCTACGGCACCGGATGTGCACTGGCTGGATATCCGGGAGTGTACACCAATGTGTCGTACTACAACAGCTGGATTGTGCAGCAGAATAGCTCGTTTAACTATTCGGTGTATCGAAATACCGCAGGTCCGCTTGGATCCAGTTCAAAGCTGTGGTGGCTGCCACTGGCCTTGGCCTTTGTCCTGGCCACCGGTGGCAGCTCCGTAACAGCGGCGTCACAGTGATGGAGGCTTTGAGCTGTAACTTAAGTAGTTTGTGTTTAGCAAATAAATGAATTTATTTAATATTTTCAAGAAAGTTAAAGAGCAGAAACGAACAAAGAACAAAGTTAACTTACATTAAAATGTAAAAGAATAACAAATTGCCTATTTTGGTCTCCGTTTTTAAAGGGATTTTAAATCGTTTAAATTAGAAAGCTACAGAAATCAATAGTGTCTAAAAAAACCGAAGAATTGTAAAAAACTACGCTAACAAATTTGATACTGTAAAGAAACAAAGGATTTGACAACTTACGAATTTACAATGCATATTTCTTGACAATTTTTTACGAGTTTATAGATTTCTCTAAATTTATTCCTTCTTGCTAACAAAAGCATCGCCAAGGCAACGATCCAATTATCATTAGGCTTTTAAATTTAGTTTTTTCTACTCAACTTCTCAACGAAACAAAGATCGATCTTCTGGACTTGGAGAATGGTGATGGACCGCCACCAGTGGCCGCTGATGCTGCTGTCGCTGACCCTGGCAGTCTGTGGCCAGCGTGAGTTCCATCAGCACCCTGAAACGCTTACCGAACCCAAAATCGAAATGCAGTCCGAACCAGTGACCGACACACAGGAGTCATTTGGTGAATCCGCCACAGTGCGGGGACCTTTCGTCCGGCTGCCCAAAGTAGTTGGAGGCTATACGGTGCCCATTGACCGGGTGCCCTTCCTGGTGTCCGTGCGCAGGCGCCTCATTCACGAGAATCAGTTTGGACAGGGCCATGTCTGCGGTGGAGCAATCATCTCCCAGCGTTTGGTCTGCTCCGCTGCCCACTGCTATAACATGTGTGTGTTGAGGGTTAATCCCCGTTTCTATTGGTCATCCCATAGCCCCCAGTTAGTTAAGTTAAACCTATCTCTCTCGATGTAGCAATAACACGGAACCGCATACGTATCACAGACCCGAGCTATTCGTGGTCTTGGCCGGGATGAGTGTCATCGATCAGAGGGACAGAGCCACTCAGGAGTACCATGTCCAGCAGATTATTGGCCATGAGCATTACGATTCCTTAACGCTGGCGAATGACATTGCGCTGCTGTTCCTAAATGGGTACATACCATGGGGATCGAAGGTGGTGCGAGCGGTGCCGCTGGTCATCGACCCGCCACCCACTGGCACCTCCTGCCTCATCCATGGCTGGGGCAAGCCCAGAAAGGTGAGTGATTTGTGATACATTACATTATTTATTATATTATTACATTGTATATATTTTTAGTGGGACACAACCTTAACCCTGCAGCAGGCCCCAGTGCCCATACTGAAGAGGGAACTATGCCGTTTCATCTACAAACAGCCCGAGTCCCAGATGTGTGCCGGCTTCCTGCAGGGCGGCATCGATGCCTGCCAGGGTGACTCCGGTGGACCATTGGTCTGCAATGGCTACCTCGCTGGGATTATCTCATGGGGTGTGGGCTGTGCCGATCCTGGCTTCCCTGGTGTCTATACCAATGTGTCAAAGTTTGTGGATTGGATACGTGTGGTGAACTTCTCGCTGGACTACAGCACCTACCTAGATATGAGGCTTATTAGTGGACAGTCAGGCAGATCCCACAATTGTGGCCCTCTGGCTCTTGTTATTCTCAACATCATCATCATCATGGTGGTCGGCCTTCTGTGACACAATAAATCGGTTGCTTTGTCTGTTGTTCCAACAACTATATATGTATATATTTAGTACTACTGATTTATCTAATCTCGGCAAGTAGAAGCCACCTGAGATCGCCAGCCACTTGAAGATTGTGTCCCTGTCCAATAGTTGACGAAGCTGATCGATGACATCAGAGGAGTGGTGTTCAATGGGCACTTTGGCAAGGGGTATGCCAGGAATTGCTATTGTCGAATTATTAAATATAGAAATGTATATAGGAGTATAGTAGAGAGGAATTTCTACATTCAACTTTAAGGCTTCAAAGGCTCCTGAAAGAAAGACTTTGATTATTATGAGCAACTTATATGTAGTTCTTCAAGAATTTTTGAGTATATGCAAGTCTTAATCATTTCTTATAAATAAAAATCTTCTATAACCATTCCTTAATAAAGTAGATGTTAGTTTAAATATTCCTCAAGAAGATTTGTTCAAGTGTACCCATAAATATTGGCTCTGTTTTTTAGAGTTTTCTTCTTTAATAGTTTACTTTTTTTAAATTTAATTGTCAATACAATTGCCTTATAAATGCATAAACAAAAGAAACAAAGTATTTTGACTTTATTATATGTACATATATGTTTTGTAAATAAACACTTAAAGGTATAAAGTATACAACAAAATCAAGATATCTACCCCAAATAATTTAATAATAGCAAATAAAAAATGGTATAAATATCGAAATTGACCTAGATTTTTTTTGTTTGGGAATGAGTAACTCTTGGTCGATTGGCATTCATTCTTTTCTTGCCATATCTCTTGCCTATTAATTTTGTGATTTTTTATAAATTGTTTACCAGCCTTGTTAACTCAAATATTAATCAATTTTATTTGCCCAAGAGCCGTGAGTTAAATTAATTCGAAATCGTAGCGATGGTCAGCGTTCAAACAACTTCGAATTGAATGTGTTGCTGATCGAAGAATTTTCTGGGAAATTAATGACAGCAAAGAGTTATTAACTGATATGTGGATTTTTTTCAAATTGTATTCGTAAATTGTTTCTTAATTTAATTGGATAATTGTAGCGAGAAAGCATATGGGAATTATCTACTTAGTTGAACCAAATTGACTGGGTTTCTTAAGGAATTCACTTTTATATTTTATATTCAATTACATGTCATATGTTATGTCACCAATACAAGTCGTAATCGATTTTATTTGTATATATTTATATATATATATAATAATAATATATTATATTATATATTTTATAATCTAACATTGGCCATATGTTTGACAGTCTCTAATCAATATAAAGACATACAAATAGGATCTTTAAGGAGCTAGAACCGTGAATCTAGAAAACCCAGGAGATTTACGATTCATTGACAATAATCAGATATCAATTTGTAGATTTAAAACTAACACACTTGTTTCTTTTTTTAGAAAATCCCGAAAAACCGTAATTTCCCTTGATTTTTGCTGAGAACGTCATAAATCGGTGTGTTAAACCCAGAGATTGCGGGTAGTGGGAAAATCCAATGGAAGTGCCTCAAGTGGCTGCAATTAGTGGGTAGACTAGGGCACCCATGTGAGCTCTCCGGTCTTGGGTCTCCCTTCTCCGGTTTCCGTACTCCTGTCTTCGTTCTCCGATCTCCAGTCTTCGTCTCCGGCAGTGATTGTGGCGAAGGTTGAAAGCCCGAAGGGTTTCGTGTCTTGTATGTACATGCGATGTACAATGTGCGATGTATGATGATAATGATGATGATTTGTTTTCTGATTAGATTAGGATGCCCGCCCGCTGTCAGATTTATTTGGCGGCGACAGCAACGACGTTGATATGGCTTCGATAGCGTCTCCTACTCCTGCGCCAGTTGGCATTGCCACGTCGGGGACGTAACACATCCAAAGCAGCGAAGCTAACCATTAACCATGATTGGATCGGGACAACTTCTGGTGGGATCACTGCTCCTGGCTGTGCTCACAGCTCTGCCAGAGGCACTAAATGGTAAGCTATACTCTTCTACCCGGATTACCATAACTCTCCACCAACTCCTCCTCAATTCCTTCTGGAACTTCTCTAGGTTTTGTGCGTCCCACACCTTTGGGGGCCAGATCCATTAGGCCACGCTTCGATGTGGATCCCGGACGGATCATCAACGGCACGGAGGCCACTCTGGGCGCCACCAGGCATCAGGTGGGCATACGGAGGGCCCTCAACGATGGCTATTTCTTTGGAACGGGACACCTGTGCGGAGGATCGCTTATCCGACCGGGTTGGGTGCTAACCGCTGCCCATTGTTTTGTGGAGTAAGTTCAAGCAAAGGTTCTTAAATAATATTTATTTTATTTACTTTTATAAATACTTGGAACTTTAATTGATTTATTTATTATTCAAATATAGCTTTTCCTTTCTAATTTGTATATTAAGTAAATCAAAATTCAGGTAGTCTTGTAGCTTGTATATTTTAGTGAAATTTTGGAATAACCCTTCATAACTTTTGCTTTAAAGTTTGCACATAATTGGACTAAAAATAAATACGTTTTTAAGGGGTGTTTTTTTATATTTTTTTATTTTACTTTACGATCTCTTAAAGTTAAATATAAATGTCTTCCTCAACACCTTATCTCTAATCTATATCAATATGAATTTTAGAAGTAATATTTACAAGTGTCGCTTCATGTGGCTATTAAATTATTTATGACTATTATAACTTATTATCAATTTATAAGACAAGAAGATAGGTACACGTGGAGAATTTTATAAAAAATATATAAGTATGAGTGACTTTAAATTTATATATATATATATTAGGTAATGATTTCTATACTTTTCGAGCTTGGCAAATAAAAGATTATATTATATATTTATATATATATTATATATAATATTAATTATCATATTTAAGTAATTTTACTATTTATTTAATCTGTTAATCTGCTACTATTTTACTGCCACTGCAATAATATTATACTTTTAATTTATTCTTTTCCAGCCAGGATATATACGATGGCACCTTCGTGCCCAAGGAGGAGTTCATCGTGGTAATGGGTAACCTGGATCGATTCGAAAGGGCCAACACACTGACCTTTGAGATCAAGGAGCGGATCATGCAACTGGACAAGTTCGTCTTGGCCACCTATGACAAGGACATTGCCCTGTTGCAGCTGAATGACACTGTGCCAGCTGGTCATCCCACCATCCGACCGATTGCTCTCAATCGTTTCCCGGTGGATGAGGGCGTCATCTGCCAGGTGACTGGCTGGGGAACGACAGAGGATGGTTATGTCTCGGATCTCCTGATGACCGTCGACCTGCCCATGATCAGTGAGGAGCACTGCGTCGAGGACAGTGATCTGGGTCATCTCATTCTGCCCGGTATGATCTGTGCCGGCTACTTGGAGCAGGGCGAGAAGGATGCCTGCTCGGGCGACTCTGGTGGTCCAATGGTCTGCCAGAGCGAACTGACTGGCGTCGTCTCCTGGGGCATCAGTTGTGCCCAGCCCCGATTGCCGGGTGTTTATACCGAGGTGGCTTACTATTACGGCTGGATACTGGAGCAGATGGGCGAGGATCCCAACGGTGAGGGTCCAAGTGGCGAGGGAAGTGGCGAGGGAAGTGGTGAAGGAAGTGGTGAAGGAAGTGGCGAAGGAAGTGGTGCCATCGATGACGATGACAATGAAGGAGGCGGTGGTGCCATGACCTCCATTGCCAGCACTCTGAGCTTGCTCCTGCCCGGCGTTCTCTCCATTAAACTGATGTTAAATCATTAATCCGAGAGATAATGCAATTCAAATCTGTATAATCCAAGGACAAGGCTAGCATCATTTTTTTTATTATTTATTTGTAATATCAATAAATATATTTTAATACATGTATCTATAAATATAAAATCTAGATCAATCTGCAGTTAAATTATATTTAAACTAATTACTAATGTACTTAGAAGAGCGGGCTGGATCGAAGGACTATATCATATAGCTGCCATAAAAACAATCCTTAAATGTATCTGTAACACTCCCTGTGTAACTCCAGAGATAACTCTTTCCCTCTACCTATGTGCCTCTCTCTGGATACCTCTTGTGGCATTACTCTTACTCTCGCTTTCACTTTCTCTGTTACTCTCACTCTCTCTGCTGTTCTCTTTGCTCGGGGACTATAAATAGAGGCACTGCTGTCGCCGCGACCTCAGTGTGTTTGCGGCCCCCCACCTGTTAACATCTCTAGTGAAAGTGATAGTGATTGCCCTTCGACCCAAGAAATTATCACCGAAGTAATAAATACTATGAAATACATCTGGATAAGCAGGAAGCGGGCCACTTCTCTTACTCTGGACTGGAAGGAACTAAGCAACGATGACGTGTATCTTCTACTGCGGTAAGTCTGAACCATGACAATTAAAATATATATATATATATATACATAGATGCTATAAGAGAAATTAATCAACTTAACTTAACTTAACTTGATCAAGTATCTTCCAACTAGTTTCTCTATTGCCATGAACTCCAGTACTTAATTTAAATGTAAAGTAATACAGCAATTTATATATGGGATATTTTCAAACGTGTAATCAAAGTTAACAGTCTAACATAATTATTATTATTTACGAAATATATTATATATTTTTTTAACTAATCTTGACTTTGGCGCCAACATTTGCCACATTTCTTATACCCTTACAGGGTATTATAATTGTATTCAGGAGCTTGCAACTTATATTATTATTATTATTATATTATTCTTGATCAGCATCAAAAGCTGAATTGATCAAGTCACGCCCGATAGAAAATAAATTTGTTTAATTTTTTTCAAAAATTGTATAAAAGTTTTCATTTTCAACAACTTTAAAAGGATTATGCAGATTTAATGGGCTAATAAAAACTAACATAGGACAGCTTTCCGAATTAAAATTAACGCATTTTTGGCTTAGTTATGATATTTCAAAAACTTTAAATTACACAAAAAAAAAGCATATAAAAATATATATTTAATATTGTTAGTATACAAATATTTAAGGTTTTCTTGTAAGTATACAAAGGCCAGAACGGCAATGATTGCCATTAGTCATATAATTTCTATTTGTAATCAAAATCTTTATCAATAAAAATAAAACATTTGAAGAAATGAATTTGTCAACCTAACATAGCGTTAAGAAACAACAAATCCAACAACAAAAATCAAATCCAATTTGGCGATTTCACCGTGTAAATTTCTTAAAAACTTGGTCTTTCCTACCAGGCGAACAGAACTTTAAACAAGCAGCTGATCGGCTGCTTAAAAAATCCTAAAGTAACGGTTCTTAAAAGATGGGAACGTGAAGAGCTTCTCTGATTGGTCTAATCAGATGTAAACGAAGGGCGGCCATTATTGATTTAAGTTCTAAAGTAACGGATCCTTACATAGAGGAACGTAAACAACGTCTCTGATTGGTCTAATCAGATGTAAACAAAGGGCGGCCATTAATGATTAAGCTCTAAAGTAACGGATCCTTGCAGAGAGGAACGTAAACAAAGTCTCTGATTGGTCAATCCAAACGTAAACAAAGGGCGGCCATTAATGATCGAGTCCTAAAGTAACGGATCTTGAAAGAGATGCATGTAAAGAAATTCTCTGATTGGTCTAATCAAACGTAAACAAAGGGCAGCCATTAAAGTACTGAAAAGTTGAAAAGATCCGTTATAAGCGCTTGCTGCTGGGCTGCTACCAGGGGTTTCTGTTCGCCTGGTATAATTCGGTCGTGAGAATGTTCAATTACACTGATTAAATGAAGTCCAATTGGAGCTATGCAGATTTATTATTCTAATGAAAACTGACGGGAGTTATGAGTTCTTGAAATTTTAATTTATCAATAAAAATATTTTTATAAAAATGTAGATAAATATCGGCTCAAGGAATATTATAATTTTATTCAGTAGCTTGAAACGTTGTGATCAGCATCAACAGGCGCATCTTTATGGGCCTAAAGGAAAGAAAACAATTTTTACCATTTTTTTTAAAATATAATAAATATATTTTAACATATTATATATATCTAAAAATATAAAATCAAGATCAATCTGCAGTTAAAATTTAATTAAACTAATTACTAATGTTCTTAGAAGAGCGGGATGGAGCGGAGAAGCTGCCATGAAAACAATCGTTAAATGCATCTGTAACACTCCCTGTGTAACTCCAGACTCTTTCCCTCTACCTATGTGCCTCTCTCTGGATACCTCTTGTGGCATTACTCTTACTCTCGCTTTCACTTTCTCTGTTACTCTCACTCTCTCTGCTGTTCTCTTTGCTCGGGGACTATAAATAGAGGCACTGCCGTCGCCGCGACCTCAGTGTGTTTGCGGCCCCCCACCTGTTAACATCTCTAGTGAAAGTGATAGTGATTGCCCTTCGACCCAAGAAAGTATCACCGAAGTAATAAATACTATGAAAAACATCTGGATAAGCAGGAAGCGGGCCACTTCTCTTACTCTGGACTGGAAGGAACTAAGCAACGATGACGTGTATCTTCTACTGCGGTAAGTCTGAACCATGACAATTAAAATATATATATATACATAGATGCTATAAGAGAAATTAATCAACTTAACTTAACTTAACTTAATCAAGTATTTTCCAACTAGTTTCTCTATTGCCATGAACTCCATTACTTAATTTAAATGTAAAGTAATACAGCAATTTATATATGGGATATTTTCAAACGTGTAATCAAAGTTAACAGCCTAACATAATTATTATTATTTACGAAATATATTATATATTTTTTTAACTAATCTTGACTTTGGCGCCAACATTTGCCACATTTCTTATACCCTTACAGGGTATTATAATTGTATTCAGGAGCTTGCAACTTATATTATTATTATTATTATATTATTCTTGATCAGCATCAAAAGCTGAATTGATCAAGTCACGCCCGATAGAAAATAAATTTGTTTAATTTTTTTCAAAAATTGTATAAAAGTTTTCATTTTCAACAACTTTAAAAGGATTATGCAGATTTAATGGGCTAATAAAAACTAACATAGGACAGCTTTCCGAATTAAAATTAACGCATTTTTGGCTTAGTTATGATATTTCAAAAACTTTAAATTACACAAAAAAAAGCATATAAAAATATATATTTAATATTGTTAGTATACAAATATTTAAGGTTTTCTTGTAAGTATACAAAGGCCAGAACGGCAATGATTGCCATTAGTCATATAATTTCTATTTGTAATCAAAATCTTTATCAATAAAAAATAAAACATTTGAAGAAATGAATTTGTCAACCTAACATAGCGTTAAGAAACAACAAATCCAACAACAAAAATCAAATCCAATTTGGCGATTTCACCGTGTAAATTTCTTAAAAACTTGGTCTTTCCTACCAGGCGAACAGAACTTTAAACAAGCAGCTGATCGGCTGCTTAAAAAATCCTAAAGTAACGGTTCTTAAAAGATGGGAACGTGAAGAGCTTCTCTGATTGGTCTAATCAGATGTAAACGAAGGGCGGCCATTATTGATTTAAGTTCTAAAGTAACGGATCCTTACATAGAGGAACGTAAACAACGTCTCTGATTGGTCTAATCAGATGTAAACAAAGGGCGGCCATTAATGATTAAGCTCTAAAGTAACGGATCCTTGCAGAGAGGAACGTAAACAAAGTCTCTGATTGGTCAATCCAAACGTAAACAAAGGGCGGCCATTAATGATCTAGTCCTAAAGTAACGGATCTTTAAAGAGATGCAAGTAAAGAAATTCTCTGATTGGTCTAATCAAACGTAAACAAAGGGCAGCCATTAAAGTACTGAAAAGTTGAAAAGATCCGTTATAAGCGCTTGCTGCTGTGCTGCTGGGCTGCTACCAGGGGTTTCTGTTCGCCTGGTATAATTCGGTCGTGAGAATGTTCAATTACACTGATTAAATGAAGTCCAATTGGAGCTATGCAGATTTATTATTCTAATGAAAACTGACGGGAGTTATGAGTTCTTGAAATTTTAATTTATCAATAAAAATATTTTTATAAAAATGTAGATAAATATCGGCTCAAGGAATATTATAATTTTATTCAGTAGCTTGAAACGTTGTGATCAGCATCAACAGGCGCATCTTTATGGGCCTAAAGGAAAGAAAACAATTTTTACCATTTTTTTAAAATATAATAAATATATTTTAACATATTATATATATCTAAAAATATAAAATCAAGATCAATCTGCAGTTAAAATTTAATTAAACTAATTACTAATGTTCTTAGAAGAGCGGGATGGAGCGGAGAAGCTGCCATGAAAACAATCGTTAAATGCATCTGTAACACTCCCTGTGTAACTCCAGACTCTTTCCCTCTACCTATGTGCCTCTCTCTGGATACCTCTTGTGGCATTACTCTTACTCTCGCTTTCACTTTCTCTGTTACTCTCACTCTCTCTGCTGTTCTCTTTGCTCGGGGACTATAAATAGAGGCACTGCCGTCGCCGCGACCTCAGTGTGTTTGCGGCCCCCCACCTGTTAACATCTCTAGTGAAAGTGATAGTGATTGCCCTTCGACCCAAGAAAGTATCACCGAAGTAATAAATACTATGAAAAACATCTGGATAAGCAGGAAGCGGGCCACTTCTCTTACTCTGGACTGGAAGGAACTAAGCAACGATGACGTGTATCTTCTACTGCGGTAAGTCTGAACCATGACAATTAAAATATATATATATACATAGATGCTATAAGAGAAATTAATCAACTTAACTTAACTTAACTTAATCAAGTATTTTCCAACTAGTTTCTCTATTGCCATGAACTCCATTACTTAATTTAAATGTAAAGTAATACAGCAATTTATATATGGGATATTTTCAAACGTGTAATCAAAGTTAACAGCCTAACATAATTATTATTATTTACGAAATATATTATATATTTTTTTAACTAATCTTGACTTTGGCGCCAACATTTGCCACATTTCTTATACCCTTACAGGGTATTATAATTGTATTCAGGAGCTTGCAACTTATATTATTATTATTATTATATTATTCTTGATCAGCATCAAAAGCTGAATTGATCAAGTCACGCCCGATAGAAAATAAATTTGTTTAATTTTTTCAAAAATTGTATAAAAGTTTTCATTTTCAACAACTTTAAAAGGATTATGCAGATTTAATGGGCTAATAAAAACTAACATAGGACAGCTTTCCGAATTAAAATTAACGCATTTTTGGCTTAGTTATGATATTTCAAAAACTTTAAATTACACAAAAAAAAGCATATAAAAATATATATTTAATATTGTTAGTATACAAATATTTAAGGTTTTCTTGTAAGTATACAAAGGCCAGAACGGCAATGATTGCCATTAGTCATATAATTTCTATTTGTAATCAAAATCTTTATCAATAAAAAATAAAACATTTGAAGAAATGAATTTGTCAACCTAACATAGCGTTAAGAAACAACAAATCCAACAACAAAAATCAAATCCAATTTGGCGATTTCACCGTGTAAATTTCTTAAAAACTTGGTCTTTCCTACCAGGCGAACAGAATTTTAAACAAGCAGCTGATCGGCTGCTTAAAAAATCCTAAAGTAACGGTTCTTAAAAGATGGGAACGTGAAGAGCTTCTCTGATTGGTCTAATCAGATGTAAACAAAGGGCGGCCATTATTGATTTAAGTTCTAAAGTAACGGATCCTTACATAGAGGAACGTAAACAACGTCTCTGATTGGTCTAATCAGATGTAAACAAGGGCGGCCATTAATGATTAAGCTCTAAAGTAACGGATCCTTGCAGAGAGGAACGTAAACAAAGTCTCTGATTGGTCAATCCAAACGTAAACAAAGGGCGGCCATTAATGATCGAGTCCTAAAGTAACGGATCTTGAAAGAGATGCATGTAAAGAAATTCTCTGATTGGTCTAATCAAACGTAAACAAAGGGCAGCCATTAAAGTACTGAAAAGTTGAAAAGATCCGTTATAAGCGCTTGCTGCTGGGCTGCTACCAGGGGTTTCTGTTCGCCTGGTATAATTCGGTCGTGAGAATGTTCAATTACACTGATTAAATGAAGTCCAATTGGAGCTATGCAGATTTATTATTCTAATGAAAACTGACGGGAGTTATGAGTTCTTGAAATTTTAATTTATCAATAAAAATATTTTTATAAAAATGTAGATAAATATCGGCTCAAGGAATATTATAATTTTATTCAGTAGCTTGAAACGTTGTGATCAGCATCAACAGGCGCATCTTTATGGGCCTAAAGGAAAGAAAACAATTTTTACCATTTTTTTTTTCAAAAAATATAAGGGTTACATCGTTATAACTTAAAATAAAATGGACAAAAATTTTATTTTTTTCAATTTTAAGTTAAGTATTCAAAATTAACATATATATATTTAATATAGTTCGAATACAAATATGATTGTCAAAAATATTTTGAAAAATATTGATTAAACTGCAGCAGCAATATTCAGCAATATTTTATTATCATATAAAAAAAATATATCCCGCAGTTAATATACCTACTAAAATATACCTTTTATTTATTTTACAGTTTGAAAATTAACAAAGTAATGTCAATTTTAATTAATTTTACATACAAATATTATATTTTCAGTTTAAATGGGTTCTTAACGTGGCTTGCTGCTTCCCACGAGCCACGGCCTACTTCCAGGCGACTTTACTTCATAAATATATAATCTAAAGGAAACTACAGCCAACTAACTAATCCCTGATTGGACCCACTATCAGCCCCATTTGGGTTAGTTCGTTAACTAAAAATAGTTTACGGCGTAGAAAACAAACCTGATTTCATCCGATGAATGGAGCTGGTCAGCCGATAAAAGAGTAATCTTTATGGCACCAGACTGGACGGCTGCCCAAAGAATGGTGTCCGTGACAGCAGGGATCGATCCATCGATCCATCGGACCATCGATCGATGGAATTGATTGCAGTGCAGACAAGGTCAAGAGTACCGTCTGCATTGAGTGGGTGCACTCCATCGATACCATTAACAATTGTCTGTCTATCCCAATGGGTATTACGTTGGTTAGCACCCCCAAGGTCTCGTGGGTATTACAACATCCTCCTCTCTAGATTAATCCGCGATTTCGGGGAGCAACGCTATCTTGAGTTATTTCCTGCACAATTCAGATCCTTATCGGGCACACTTTTTGATGTAATCTCTGTTTTGCTTTCCGTTTTAGTTTAGGCCAAGTGGCCTATTGATAGTTTTCACAACAAAGTATAAAAAAAGAAGGCGTAATTTCCGTTACACTTGGGAAAATTTGTTGTACTTGCAGGAGGAGTTATTTCCGACTCTATAAAGCATATATATTCTTGATCAGCATCAACAGTTGAATCGAATATAGCTATATTTGGGAAAACAATATTTTTTTTAATATTTTCAAAAATTTTTAAGGGGTTTCATAGTATAATTTTTTTAAAAATTGATCAAATTTGGAATGTTTTTTAATTTAAATTGAGAATGCAAAGCTATTAACCTAATAAAAACTAACATTGGGCATCTTTCCGAATTAAAATTAATGCTTTTTTGGCTCAATTATGCGATTTTTAAACTTTGATTTGTCGGTAATAATTATCATATAAAAAATCTCGATATCTATTCAAAGAATGCGAATATTTAAAGCTTAGTTATGATTGATTTTCGATTTTAAATTGGAGTGCTAATTTTGTATACATTTACGTAAATTAATATATTATTACGTATACGTAATATATTTTTATTACGTATACGTATTACATTACATTTATTGCATTAAAACTGGATAGTTATAAAATACTTGCATTGATAGCCACCATTATTAATTACAATGAAAGCTTAAAACTATACGAAAATATTCTCTGTGTAATAGGTTGCTATTTTAAGAATATAAATAAACAATTTTGGCCTTAAAAAAATTGAAAGCGTAGCAAATAGTATTCCCCGAATATATTTTTCACAATAAATAGTGAGTGCTTTTAGAGTTAAACCTTGTCAGAGATCTCTTATCAATGTCTAGTTCATGGAAAACTTAAATCTCTATCTTTATCTTCTTTTAAATACTTATTTATATTTTTATTTTATGCCTTAAGCCCGACTTGCATTCATATTGCAACATAAACAAATTCCATGAAACAATTATGAAAACAAAAAATAAACGAACCACAAACGCTTATCAATGCCGTGTGGAGAGCGTGTGTGTTTGTTTATTATTCGATTCCAATGGGATCAGTTTCTATATAGTAGTCGTGCCAGCCTTATCACCATCGACATCGACGTCGACGTCGAATCAAAACTCACGAAACCAAAACAAAATTATGGAATTATCTAAGAACGCTTTTGCGAATTTGCGTTCATTCGATTTAGGAAAGAAGCTTGCCTGAGGTTTCTTCATTCAACGCTCGACAGGTGAACCGTTCAGCACGCTTTTCGCGCTTTCAAATTCGGAGATTATAGCTGGGATCATCACCTGTTTTATATATAAAAAATATATATATATAAATTCCTTTTTTTGTAATTTTTTACTGTGACTTTTTTGTGGCGGAAAAACCTACAGAATGCAGCTCAACGATCACTGGCGCAAGATTGTAAAGACTATGATCTTTGCCTTTCTCTGCACCGAAATGCAAACTAGTAAGTTTATTTTGTAATTAAAAAATTAGTAGTTAAAATGTTTAATTTAATTAAAAACTGTAAGTTTAATTTTAAAAAGGAAAGAATATAACATTTATGGTAATAAGAAGTTCAAGTAAAAGAAAGTGTATCTTTAAATTACAGTTCTTCAAGCACATTTTATATAGCATCTTTTAACGTTAATAAATTATTTTTAAATACTCTTTTTTAATGGAAGTTATAATATTACAGTTTATTGCTATATATATATTCAGTTATTGGCGAAAGTAAGCCCTTGAATAGCTTTAGATATGGCATTACACCAATTTTACACTTGATTCGGTCAAGGTTTTTCCTGGAGTACTTAAAGTTTTATTACATCAAGAAATGTATAGATAGGGCGATAAGCTTTAAAGAAGATATTATATATATAGAAAAATATGTATATATTTATACAGATTTTTTTAAAGTCACGTAAGCTATAATTTACTTTGAAACATTTAATAAAAGTGTGAAGAGTTCAAGTGTCGCATTTAAATAGTAGTTGTAGACTTTTATGACAAAACTTGTTTGAGTTTTTGTTTTATGTTTTTGCAAACATTGTTTTTGATTGTGGGCAAAAGTTCATCTGATAAGGGGAATAATGAAAGCTAAGTCTAAAATTAGCAAATGCTATTAATATGATTTTGTTTGTAATTAAATCGGAAAGGTAATCTTAATTTAAATACTTTTTATGTGTTCAAATTTGTTGTATAAATATTGAGATTATAATAATATTTATATATTATATATTTAGTATGACATATACCTTTCTCTATCAGTGCTCTCTGGGTCAATATAATTCCAATTTGCTCCCACAATTATCCAAATCGCTATCTGCCTTTAAGTGCGTCACTCCAAAAATTGATCAATTGGGGCGATCAGCGAGTATATATATCGCGTGATCCAGCTAAACCATAGTTTGCTTCCGGCATGTGTATCTGTGGGATTTGGAATGACTTTAGTTTGGGTTCTATATAGTAGATATAAATATCAGCCTATAGTTGGCACCTATCATATCTGCGATCACAGTTCGCCAAGCATTGGTGGCCTGATCTCGCACTCTGTGACTGGCTACTGCTACTCATTCCGAATGGAAATCAGGAACCGGGGCTTGTGCACCAGCTGAACGCGCTGATATCACGAGGCGATCGGGCGCTGACCAGGTTTCCTGATAAGGTGATAAGACCGAACTGCACTCGGAGACTGTTTCCAGGGGGAATCCGATCGGATCTCGATTGTGGCTTATCAGCCTTCCTGCTTAACCTTCACCTCGCGGGTTTGTCCGATTTTCTCCCCGTGATAGAGATGTACCTGTGGAAATAGTGATTTGGGGAAAAAATATCGTGAATAATTATTGAAAATAATAAACTGAAGAACTGATAATACTTTAATATAATTTATAAAATAGTTTCATATTTATATCTATACTATAATTCATTATTTGATACCTTCTTTATAGCCTATACACATCGAGATTTGACTGCCAAGCGACTTGGCCTGGCCGAAATGGAGGCCATTGCAGCAGCTACTGGTGAGGATCGATTCCAGGTCAAGATGAGGGCTCCATATCATGCATCCATTCGTTTGCTGGCCCAGGAGAGGGATTACTTTGGCAAGGGACACATCTGTTCGGGTGCGTTGGTGGCGCCTTCTGTTGTCCTTACCGTAAGCAGTTGCATCTTCAGGTGAGTTTTAATTGGGAGTTCGGGAAATAAGAGAAGTCATTAAAGTTCTTTGGTTTTTTTAAGTTATAAGTACATAAAAATAACTATTTTAATTATCCTATATATTTATTAATTATATTTTTCTTACCTTTCTTATAGCCACGTGAAGAAAAGCTACTACCATCCCTCGGAGCTGCGTGTGATGTTGGGGAATCCTCAGAGGTTCGCTCCTCATGACCAGGGCTTAGCCTTTGGCGTTACGCACATCCATCAGCCGCCCAAGGATCTGGCCCTGGCCATTCTTATGTTGGACAAGGATGTTCCACTGGACCATTTGTTTATCCAACCGGTGGGTCTGCCCTCGCCGGGTGAGACATCAGTTCTGGATGCAGATTCCAGCAATTTGCTGCAGATTAGCACCTGGGGTTATGATGGCGAGATCCGGGAGCTGCACGATCTGGTCACTTTGAATGCCACTCACACAGCGTGTCATCATCACCAGGAGCAGAGCCAATCCCCAAGGATCTGTGTTCAGGCGGAGGTGACGAATGCGTCACTCGGCCAGAAGTTGTACATGGATGCTGGGGCCACGTTGACGGAGCAGGATCGCCTGCTGGGACTGAGGAGCACCGATGGTGGATTCGAGGATGTGGCCAGTCATGTGGAATGGATTCTGGCCCAAATAGGCGACGGTGGCAATCAGAACAGCTCGGTTTGGGGCATCCTGGGGTTCATGGTCTTCACTGGCTATGTCCTTACAGTCAGCAGGAAGAGCTTCTCCACCTAGGAAAGGGTTTTGTGGGTTTTTTTTTGGGGGTAAACTAGTCAAGTAGGAGGGATCCTAGGCCAGCCTAGGAATGTGATAATCTCGATCAGAAAGCCAGAGCAGGATAATCTGCCAATCCTAGAACAAGATGCCTTAAGATATTTGTACAATTTAAAGTTCTTGGGGGATCAATCAACAATTAATTTATATATATAACACATAAAATAAGGGTAGATATATATATACACTAAATACAAATAATAACATAATAATGTACAAAAAGGAACACTTGATCCCTCAACCCAGCAGAGCCTTTACCAGGCTGCACTCCTTCACTCCATCGCAGAGCAGCAGAAGCGGTGTCTCCTCTAACTCCAATCTCTGGTCAGATTTTACCAAAGGAAATGCCCATTGTTGCTGCTTCTTGTGGCCAAAACTGCGCTGCTGCCAGCCATCCACCTGGCCATATTTGAACAGGTAAAAGTGCTCCGATTCCGGCTGCATGACCACTAGAAGATACTGCTCCTCGCCCACTCGGAATGGTGTCAACTGCTGGATGCGCTTCTCGAAACTCAACTGCTGGCGTGGCTCAAAGGGAACGCCTCTAGCTTTGGGTCGACTGAAGATGGCAATGTGCCGGCAACCTGGACAGGCGAGCAGGAGCTGATCCTCCTGCAATTCAGCCAAATCGTAGGAACCTGGTATAAGCTGTAGCAACTTGAAGCGTTGGTCCAAGGGATCCCTTGCATGGATGGCCAATACGGGACGGTGGTCTTGCATGCCGCTGGTCAGTAGGAGGTCCTCCTCTTCTCCTTCTCCTTTCATACGGAGCACCTTCATCAGGCGACCATCAGCGGGTGTCACAGATTGCCAGTCGGTTAAACTGCAATTGGTTCGGTTGAGCCGCAGGATTCGGACTTCCTCCTCGGTGCCAAGGAGTAGGAGTGCCTGTTCCTGGTCCTGTTCCAGCAAATGCATGGCCTCCACTGGCTGACGCATGGCCAGGGTGTGGGATTCGTTGCGGCAACTGATGCTGATCCTGCTGCGTAGTCTCCTGGCAGGACGATGGCAGTGATTCTGGACCTTTATCTTGATATCACCGGAGCTGATGCGTGTCAGCTGGCTGGAGGAGGCACTGGTGGTGGCATTGAGCAGAAACACACGGCTCTCGGACAGCCGGAGCTGGGCCCTCAACTCGTGACGCTGGCAGGGAGCCGTTTGACCCAGCGGCAGGCTCACCTGGAAGTCAGCGGGGCCTTTTAGTGGTGGCTTCACCCATTTGGCTTTTAGGGTCTCGGAATCGTGATCCAGGTAGAGGAGACGTCGATTAAGTGAGCTCTGGTTGCCAACTGTCAGGAGTTCCTGCAATTCTTTCAGTGGATTTGATTCCTGCCTTCCTTCCATTGCTCTGGAATTGGGAATGGGAGTTTGTTGTGGCTGAACGAGTCCTCCGGAAAAGAGTGCCCTGTCCAGCACCAGGCTATCGATATTGTAGTCCCTGTCCCGGAAGATGCTGCCACGGTAACTCTCGCTAAGATCACGACCATTCAGGTTAATCACATGACCAGGCCCCGTGAACTGTACTCCTCCGTGGAAGGTCTTCGCACCTGAGATGCTCTGCACCTGGCGGCTGTGCTTGAGGACGAGGTTATCCAATGGAATGCCATTGATGGTCCGCAATAGTGGCTTGCCCAGCTGCAGTTGCTCAAAGGTCAGGGAGCCGAACACCTCCAAAGCGGCTCCCTTCAGAGGAATGCGATGCTGAAAGAAGTAGTCCATACTCATTCCGTTCACAGAGCCCAGGCTGAGGGATTGCTCAACATGGAGTTGTCTAAATCTAACCCTGGGCCAGGATTGACCTGCGCCCTGCTGGAAAATCTCCCCAACTGGAGCTCCATTCACCTCTGGCTTCTCCAGCTGAAGTCGTCCAATTGTTGGTGCTTGAAGAAAGTGTAGATTGGCTGCAATGGCTTCGCCACTAGACAGGCGATAGAGTGAGGCATTCAGTCGCTCGATATCGATGCCATTCATCTGTCCAAAATGCGCATCCTTCACCAGGTGGACGGTTCCGGCTCTCACAGGTCCCAGTAACTCGTGGTTGGCCGTTATCACTTGGCTTTCGTTGCTACCCGTCCAACGGAGCAGTGCATCCTCAGCCACGTCCGAAAAGTTGAGATCTGCGGGCAGAGATTGCTTGCTGTGGAGTCTCTTCAGGTGAGGTGCTCGGAGGAGCACATGTCCTGTGATGCTCTGGTTGCCCTCTCTTCGAACTGCATGCTGGCGCAAGTAATCCAGTTGGGATTGCTCCTCGACATCGACATCCCACAGGGCATCGCCGGTGACTATCAGATTCCGCCAGGGAAGTTGCTTCACCAGCTCAACCCGCTGCTCCAGATTGTCCAAACCAAATCCAGGTTCACCCTCCACCGAAGGGCACTTCAAGCTGCCATTGATGGTCAGCTGTTTCACGTAGAAATCTCCCTTTAGCTGCACATCCTTACGAGTGTCAATGAATTCGTTCCTTGGTACTCCATTCACCTGGGGTACATCCACATTGGTTGCCACCATCCGTCCAAAGCTATAGGCACCGCCTATCTCCTGGGGCGTCATCCGGAGCAGAGTGTTGTCCAGCAGAGAGCTCAGGTCGAGATTATTAATGTGAGGCGTGTGCAGGGCATCGCTTAGCTGGACTCCCGCAAGGAAGCTCTTCCTGCCACTCAACTCTGCATTGGCATCGGGCCTGACTAACTTTCCTAGGTACTCATTCCACGGAATGCCATTGATGGTCTGCACCTGAAGGGGCTTCTCGAAGCGTACACTGCCCTCGATGAGCAGCTGCTTGCGGAGGAGGAGCAGCGAGTGCTCATCGCCCTCGGAAATCTTGGACAGCAGGTCATCGAAGGGCAGGCCATTGAGGCGACGGAAGTTCAGCATTTTCAGGTGTGGAGTATCCGTCAGCTCCAAGCGCTTCAAGCTGAGATCATGGCCCAGGAGCTGCTCCAGTGAAAGTCCATTTAGGCGGCTCACATTCAGATGCCCCTGAACACGCAACTCATCTTCTATCACCAGGCGGGCAAAGCGCTTGGTTCCCTGGAAACTCAGTACGGGATTTGATCGAAGGACCAGTTCACTTACCGGCATTCCGTTTATTTGCTGAGTCTGAAGAGCTTGGACTGTGACAGGCGCCTGGAAACGTTTGTGTCCTGTAATATTGGTCTCCTGGCCATGACGCACTGCCTCCCTGGAGAGTTCGGCCAAACGAGAGCTGTAGTCCCGGCACAGGATGTCACCCTGGACACTGGCGTTCATGAAGATGATGTGCAGACTTTGGTTTGAGCTTTGCCTCAAATTTGGTTGACCACCGCTGAGCAGGTGATCTTGCACAGGATGTCCTCCAAGGAAACTGGTATTCAGTGAAGGTGTACTAACCTTGGCGTAACCAAAGGTTATGTTCGAGATGTCCTGTAGTTATTAGAGAAGTACAAGATAAGTGATCAAGTTTTCCAGGAGCAGCCGAGGAATTCCCACCTGTGACGCTTGGTTGAGCAGATAACGAGCATGGAGATCACTCCGGGCAAGCGACTGATTCCCCAGCATCACTAGAGAGTTCTCCGTGTCCCGCTGCACACTCCTGACCGTCAGGGAGCCACGGATGGTGATCCTGCCTGTATAATACTGCTGGAGACGCTGCTCCTTATCCGGATCCAGCTGCCTTTTCGTTCGATTCGCCACCTGCAGGTCACCGGAAACGCTCATCTGGTTGATGCGCACAGGAGCTGCAACAGGGAAGTGGTCTCATTAGATTCATTACAAACTGATGACTGAACCAAAAATTACTTTTCACCCAGGTCTCATTGTCTGTGCCTCGAAACACTATATCCTGGGCAAAGTTCAGCCCATTCACACTCTGGGCTTCCAGGCGCGGCGCAAAGAAGGCGGACATGTAGATGTTGGAGCTGATGACCTGGGCACGTCGCAGGTTGAACAACTGATCTACCACTAATCCATTGAGCAGGGTCGTTTGCAAGGCATCCACTTTCGTCCTGGACTGCAGGACAAGGCGACCCTCAAGGCGGGTGTCGCGGCTGCGCAGAAAGAGTGAGTCGAGAAAGTCGTTCCACGACATTCCATTGATCAGTTCCACTTGCAGGCGACGCACTACACAGTCAGTACCAGGCGGAGGATTCTCCGCCTCTGGTGGCAGTGTCTGAGATTCACTGGAGTTCTGGTAGTCTCTAGGGGTCATCAGGTGCTCCGTTTGCAGAGTCTTTGCCATCACACGACCATCTCTGATGGTCAAAAGGTGAGATGAGCTAGAGGTGGTGTCCAGGATGTATCCTAAAATGGAAGACAATGATTAGATCAAGATAAAGAGGTACCTATTCCTTTAAGAAATCATACCTGGCATAAGGAGTCCTCCGTAGATGAGATTTCCCACACGGAGACGCTTCACCTTGAGGGTTTCATTTGCTTCATTGTCGTTTTCCGCCCCAAAGGAACGGATCATTCTCCTGGTCTGCCTCGACGTCTCATATTTCTGACGCAGTTCCTCCAGACGTTGCTTCAGCTGCGAGGGCGTGCGCAGGTGTTCCCCCTCCAGTTGGAGACGTCCAATGTGTCCTCCTTCGCGTAGATGAAGATCCTGAGTTAGTTGAATAGTACCTTGTTTCTGGAGGATGTGCACCCCGTTGAGTAGAGCTGCCAATGAGGAACGACGCCGCAGGAGCAGACCGCGGAGGCCATTGATGGACTCTTCGAACTCATGACGATGCAGCTGGACCACAGTGAGATCTGGTAAGATTAAGAAGAAGACTCAGAATCATTTGGATAATATATACCCTACCACACTACTCACCTTCATCCTGGGTGGCTCCTACTTGATTGACGGTCTCCTCATACTCCACACTTCCCAGCTGAACAGTACGGAGTACGGCACTCGAGGGTAGACGGTAGGCGAGCAGCAAAAAACTTTCGTTCTTTGCATTCCTATGACTAAGCAGTCCACTAGGATCCGGGTTGCCGGTCATGGCAAAGCCGGAGTAGCAATCCAGGCGTGCGGATCCAAAAACAATAACCTCTCCATTGGCCCGAGCTCCGACCAGAAGCTGACCCCCCTTGGTGGCCGTCATCCGTCGGAAGTTGAGATCGCGACGAGCATGCTTGCGATTAACCACAAACTGGCCATCGATCATGCGAAAGAACAGGCAAGGATCTGAAGCGGATGCACTACAGGCAAGGAGACGGTTCCGGCTGCGGAACCTAAAGGCATGGACAGTCTGGGCCTGGACAGTCAGGGCCTGGCGTTGCTGCAGACGCAGCGTGATCCTGTCTAGTTCATAAACGGTGAGTACCAGCTAGAAAATATTCAAAGTAGAGTTCAGAAACTGTAAATTTTCATGAATCTTGAATGGCTCACTCACCCGGGCCGAAGATCCTCGCAGAAATCGACCAAATATGAGATATATGGGCTGGCGACCCACCACCTGAAGGACGCGGATGGACGGCAGGGTGATCTCCTCGAGGGGATTAAAGTACGTGTCCAGCCATTCGAAGGTTCTGTGGAATAATTATAATACTCGTTATACATAATCCTCTTCTTAATATAGGTATAGGTATCCGTACCTGCACTTGCTATGCGTTCTGGTGTGATTGGAGGCCACCAGCAGGAGGACCTGCTCCGCACTGGGCTTGAGGAGATGCAGCTGCAGGAATCCGCCGGGCAGCGAGAACTCTTGCAGGGGCTCAAAGTTCAATTGAGTCGAGGGATCTTCGGAGAGGAGCAGATCCCTGGGCAGTTGGTATACCTCCAGAGAGTCCTCCAGGACGAGGGCCAGTAGAAGAAACTGTCGCCAGGCTACAATCTCAGCACCGAGAGCTGGCCGCTCTCTCACCCGTCCCGCCAGAAAGCCCAGCGGCACCAGACGCCGCTTGCCGGTGGCCACGTGGAGCTGATGGATCTCCGGTCCATGCAGGAGGAGCAGCAGATCTGCCTCCGGCTCGCGCAGCACAAAAATCGGCATCTCGTGGCGCACCACCATGTCGACGAAGGGCAGCTGAATCTCTGGCCCGGCGCTGCTGCTGCTATTTAATGCATTTCGGCAGAAGCTGGGCAGCACTTGGACTCCACCTGGGTGTCCCGGCACTTCCTCCGCGAAGAGTTTACCTTGGACTTGGTCTATGCCACGGCACACGACGACACTTAATAACAAAGCAAAAAATCCGGACGAGAACATTTCAACACGTTTTATAAACACGGATCGTTTGAGCAACAATAATTCCGTTCCATTCACATGGGAATCGGACTTTTAGAAAGCTTGTTCTCAGGCGACTAGCTGTAAAATTGTGTTAAGGAGCTATAGAGGGAGTGAGACAGATACTATAACTTTGTCAAAGAACAGTTAGTGGGATTGTGAGGGAGCTTTAGAGCTTACAGCCCTACAGTGAAAGAGATCACTATTTAAGCTGAAAAAATATGGGGAGGAGGTGAATAATGAGAATGAAAGAGAGGAGGAATCTGCAAAACTTTATCGAAAGACAGTTGGCAAAAGAGCTTCCTGCAGTACGGACCAGTAACCGGAGAGTTAATTATAAAATATATTTAGTTTAAAGTGCTCACAAAAAGTTTGTTAATATTAGAAATAATTAATGGAAACTGGTACATCCTTCTTGGTTGTGCAATATCAAATCAGCGCCTTAAGGTATGCTTTAATACTTTATCCTCTTGCAGTAGTTTTCTTCCTGTAGTTTTCCCCCCAATTTTGTCTTTCTCTTTCACTGTCTCTGCCAGTGTGACACCTTGGGGAAGGGAATACACTTTTTTTAGGGGGTAGTGAGGTGTGTGTAGACTGTATAGAAGCTAAAAATAAATGCAGACAACAAACTTGGAGAGTGCCTTCGACGATTTCGTCGAATCAATCAGCTTCGATCATTAGTCGAGGTCATTAAAGACATTAAGCCGCCCTCTTTTCACCGAAAATGAGGAAGAAAGCATTTAACACGGAAGAGGGAATCGCGTATAAATAAAATCTATATATGTATGTATATACATATGTACATTTTTATGGAGGGATTTGTTGTAAATCCGTAGCCTTAACCCAAAAGGTGGCCGCACATTTGTACTTGCTGTTAAAGAGGATTCAAAAAGGACCCGTAAATCGTGAAAAAGTATTACTTTCTATATTTTTTAATTCATGTCATTGCCCCCGGGTCAAATAATGCCTCCATCTGTTCTGTATATCAGCCAGAATATTTACTTTTTCGAAAAACGGGATGGATTGATCGCAATTTTTCGGCCGCATAACGAAGGAAATGTAAACAAAGGCATATTTTGGTTATAAATAATAGCACTGCCAATATTTAATTTTGTATAAATACTACTGTGTGCAGAGCTATATATTAATTTTTTTGCAGATTTTTTAAAAGATAAAGTGGCTTTTAATGGTCTAAGACTTCCATTTGGACAAGAAAAACGTAAAAATATAATTAGCTTAGAAACTTTTGCATGTTGCATGTTGCAGTTGTAACCGCTGCTGTTAACAGCTGTTGTCTGGTCATTAGCAGATGTTCCGCTTGCGTGCTGCTGGCCGTCCATACGTCTGCTTGTCCTGTTTCCGTTGACCATTTCGAGCAGTTGCCGTCGCTTTTCGCTTTTCGTGACTAATTAGCAAATTTCGCGACACCCGTTGCGCATACGAGCATTTGGCGCTTTTGGCATTTGGGGTCAGAGGCCAAGCCCAGAACCTAACCTACAGTTTCCGTTAGCCTTAGGCAGTTAACAGCGCCAGCAGCTGATTGTCATGCCTGCAGCTCATCAGCAGGCTCATAATCATAACTGTGATAAATGGCGGCCACTGATTTGAAAGCTCCCCTTCTCCCCACATAACACACTCTCTGGCGCTCTTGTTCCTCCTCTCTTTCTCTCTCTCTCAGTGTGTCTCCAGCCGCCAATCAACCACGCACTATGGAAAAGAGAGCCATACACAGTGGGTAAAAATCTTTTCCAGTCTCAGGAAATATTTTCATCTTGCAATTAAGTGCACAAACATAAGAAAACAACAACTAGGAAAGCTGTCTTATTATGTTTAAATTTTCTAAAAACTTCAAACATGCTGCGCAACATTCAAATAAAGACATGTTTCTAAAGTTCCATCTTTACAGAAACTACCCACTGTGCGGCGCCCAAAAGTTCTTGAGCGTGCGCTCTAGGAAAGTGGTGAATAAGTAAAGAGTTTGACTAGTGCGAGAGACCAGACAAGATCACTGTGCAAAGTGCTGCCATTGTGTTGCTATTTTAAAGGCTTTAAACTAGTTGTAAATTTAAAAAACGCCACATCTAGTCTGAATTAAGCTAGTTGTTCAGTCTAAACATCAGAACGAATCATAAACAACGCGCGCATTCGAGTGTACAATACTCAGTATAAGTTGAGTGAGAAGCTTCTCGGGCATGTGTGAGTGAGTGCTCTCCCCGGTGTGCACTCAGATAAAACAACTTCTCTTCATTGTGTGTGCACGGACTCACCACTCAACTCAATTCATTTCGAGTGCGTTCAGTTTTACCGTATGTTGTGAGTGATGCCATGCAGACGGCTAGTTCAGTCGCAACGCGGTTGCCGCCGACGTCGCAGTCGCCGAATTCCCGATTGGAAACCGAATTAAATTTCGAGGCGTGCAATTTTGTGTTTTATTTTTATTTTGTTCGTTATTCGGTTTTTCTTGTGTTTTTTTTTTGTGTTTTATTCTGTGAAAATGTCACCGGCTAAGCAACAATTTGCCATGAGAGACCGTTGAGTAAATTAAAGCCAAAAAGGTCCTTTTTGGATACAAAAAAGGGATATTAAGATTCAAAAACACTCGAAATGAAATTGTGGAAATCAAAGAAGCCCATTTCGGGCTGTGTGCCTGGAAAATCTGCGGCCCTCAAGCAGGATCAACAACAACAACAGCAGCAAGACTCGCTCAACAACGGATCCTTCAATGGACAGCATCATCATTCACAGCAGCATCCGCAGTCGGACAGCAGCGGCATCGCCTTGGCGCCCATGTTATCCGGTAAGAGCTTTTCCGTTTTTCTTGTCGCCCCTCCCCCTTTTCCCGTACTCTGACAGTATTCGGCCCCCCATCCCAGAGGCGCCCAACATGTGCGCTCCCATTTTCAGCTTTTCCACTTTTCCGCTTTCCCCCCGCTCAGGGTTATCGCATTTCCGCCCAAGGTGCTTGCGTACGGCCCTCAAGTGCTCGAATTTAGATATAGAACTGTATACAAATATTCGACGGTGTATTTGTATCTTTGTATCCGCGGATATCAGCTGGCAAACACTGCGCGGAAAATCTAGAGGTTTTTCTTGAGGGAAATTTGTTTTAAGTGAGTTATTTAGTGGAATTTTTGATTCCTTGAAATAAAATGATATCTTAAAAGATGTAGGTTTCTGGTAGTAAAATATAATATATTGATTTTTAATTATAGACGAGAAGTTTTTATACCATTGCAAAGGTATTATGGTTTATATCAGGAGTCATTTGCGACCCTATAAATCATATATATTCTTGATCCGCATCAACAGCCGGTTCGAACTAGCTATCTTAGGGAGAAAAATAAACTTTAGAAACAAATTTTTAAAATTTAAAAAATGTGATAAGGGGTTGCATCGTTAAAATTTTTAAAAATGTATAAACATTTTATTATTTAAATTGAGTATGCAGATTTATTAATCTAATAAAAACAAACATAGGACAACTTCCCAAAATAAAATTAATGCTCTTTTGGCTTAGTTATGATTTTTTTAAACTTTGATTAATCGCAAAAAATTCTCATACAAGAATATCGATAAATATGGATTTAAGAATGGGAATATATTCAGATTAGGTATGATTTATTTCCGATACAATCTTATAATTCAAGGGTATTAAACTTCGACTTCTCAAAGTTAGTGTTCCTTCTTGTTTATAATAAAAATTGTATTAACTTTGGAATTGTTGAGGAAAGTATTTATCCATATTTTTCCATATTTTATATCGAAAATGTTATTTATCAATAGAGTTCATTTTGAGTGACTTCTAACTATTTTTTTATTATTTCGCTCAGTGTTATACTGCTGTCGGTTAAGACTATGTTTGACATTTTCAATTGAAAGTAATTGCTCGCGTTTCGTTTTCATTTTCATTTTCCAATCGCTCGAATTCCCTGCAATTTGTCGTCAATTTCCCCCCTCAGCTTCGATTGTGGGAGCCCGCCCCCCTCTGAGCGTGGTGCTGTGACCTGACCCTTGAATTCCCCCCCAGCGAACGCGGTTCAATGAGATCAGCGGGCACTGTGATGGATTACCCGGGCATCGCATTGGATTGCCAAATCAGAGGAGTTCAACGGATCTCCGTTGGGTGGCGGGATCTGTGCCACCGATATATATATCATGGCTAATTGGAGCTGATCGGATAAGCAGATGATCAGATGCATTTGCCATCAATTGAGACGTAATTGAATGGATTGCACAATCTTAAAATGGAGGCTTCTGATTCCAAAGAAGCTCTCAAGCTTGGGGCAGAATTTTCCCAAAACATATACTATAGTTGGGTTCACCTTTAAACTATCCAAAAGCAACAATCTAGATAGTCTCCATCAAGGTCTTTGAGGTCGCTTCTGTGAATCCATAAGATACTTTTGCTCTGCCGCTGATTTTGCGCGGATTAATGATCTAAAAATGCCGCCAGTACTGGCTTTCTGGGATTTATGTCAGCTAAGAGGGGAAAAGTGGAAGGAAAAAGCGGGGTAAATGATGGTCCAACTCCCAATTGCAACTTGAACTTTTTTAGTGAATGGAGGAGCAACAACATCGGTGGAGATACAAAAGTATCTGCATCTGTTCGTGTGCGCGGTCTTAAATTGCATTTGATGAATTTATGGCATGGCAGGCGTAATTAAGCATTTAATTAAATATTTCTGATGCGGCGCATTGTTGTTGCCACTGCCACTGCCACTGCCGCCTCCCGCCTGTTTGTTGCTTAATTTTCTTGCGCGGAATGCCGTAGATTGTATCTGCTAGATAAGGCCAAGTGCCTGGCCAGAATGCTGCTGCTGTTGCTGCTGCTGGTGAGTGGTGCCACCAAACAATCGCCCATTGATGCCTCAGCACAGCTGCAGTCAAGATATTAGTATCTTTTCACAGAAAATGTAAAGTTGTCTGAATTCTGGTAACCTTAGTAACAAATTGAGCACAATTACAAGCATCTGATATCTTTTCCTATTGCTCGCATCACCGCTGTATGGCTATAGATGCATCTGCAATTGTTGGCATTGCATATCCCAAAGGCAAACAGAGGCGTGCACTCATACGATAAAAAAAGGGGAGTGGGTGCTGCTATCTCCCTCGTCGAGGGGAGATGGATGGATGACCAGATGTCACTTGTTTACACAGAAATGACAGCGACAACAACAGCAACTTGGGCGATTGATTTGACTCTACTCTTTGTAATGCAAACAAAGCCTGAGAACAGCGAAAGGTGTTCAATGTCAACGCCCGGTTCCAACTCTAAATCCAAATCAGAGACCCAACACAGATGACAATTTCCCCCCGAAAAAACTGTCGAGAGTGAAAGAAAACCCTCATTTCGGGATTCCCCTTCTCTGAATGCACATTAAATGCCCATAAAATCAACGACAAAACATACGAAATCGTAAAAAAAGAGTTGAAAACAACTCGAAATGGGAGAGGGTAGGGAAAATGTAATGGATCAACAGAGATACCATTGTGAGCGATGACAGGCAATGGGAATGTGATCTATATTTGATATATTTTATATGAGAATCAGTGGATAGTATCAGGAACTATAATTATATATGTATATATATTTGGAGAATTTATAGATATTTACTACCAAGAATAAGTTAAACTGTTTCGAAATTATTATACTCTTTAGAATTTCGTATAAGCCAAAAACTACGATCTTTCAAAATAGCAATTATTCTGCTTCATGAATTATATCTAACTCCTTGGCTATATCTTTTATACCTTCTATGTATCTTAGCCCTGTTTCCGATTTAACAGATTGCCATTAACCTACACAACTTACAAGGCATATATATTTTGATCCAATTCAAAAATGCAATTAAGATCAAAATGAAATTTTCTAGTTCGACTTGAAAAGTATGGAAAATCTAGAAAAGATCACGTCTCTGTGACATGGAAAATGTGGCAAACTTATGGGACGATTAAATTTATGGAATTTTGATGATCATAATGATATGTCGCAGATATACAGGGAATGCAAAGTGGATAATTCGTTCAATATATGTATGTTCCTAAAACACCATTCATCCCGTCTATCTGTATGTTGTGTGTCTCTGCTTTTAGTTCTTTTTTAGATTTTTATGGATTCCTTGGGTTGCATACACTTTTTTTACGAGTTGCATTGGGAGCATGATTGATTGAACATCGAACAAATGTTTGAGAGCCCACTGAAACACCAAATGGAAATGGAAAATATGGGTCGCTGGGGGCGGGGCATGGGTACTATCTATTTGTGTATTGCCTTTGTTGTGCACTTTTCAGCCCAAAATGAATTTGTTTGAGTCTTGTTTTTCATTTTTTTATGGTCAGTAAATTGAAGTGTTTGGAATTTACAACTGATTTGAAAGCAATTCTGATTTAACCATTTGTTATGGAAATATGGGAGAGTTGGGAGGGCGTGTCTCGCTTCTTTTCAGCAAGTTTATGAACGGTGCTAAAAAATTAACTACAAATATTTTTTTCCCCTTTTTGCGGGAAGAATGTTATTATTATTGTTTAGATTTCGAATAAAAATGGGATCTTTATATATTTTCAGCAATCAAAAGTTTGCCTATAAGTTCTAGATTTTCTCAAAAATTATAACGTTAAATGTTAAAGTTTACAGATATCTTGAATGTTATACATTATGGTCCACCTCCTGATTTCCTCTTAGTGTAGACTTCAGCTACTGCATATATGAAGCTGCAATTCCTTTATTGCTCTGGCGACACTTCATTGTTGTTGATGGGTTTATTTCGCTCCCCAGAGACAGAGCATTTTTCCCCCACTTCCCACATCCCCCTGGGGGAATGTACAGATATATATGCAGCATGCAGGAACAATAAAAGTCACGAGTAGGTTCGCTCATCCAGGGATTTTCATAATTCCCTTCCATCTCCTTCCCTCGGCACTCCAAGGAATTGAGTGATGTGTGAGTTGGGGCTCGGGTATTACGATATGGGGTAGGAGTTTGAAACAAATCGGAGAAAGGGGTTTAACTCAATGTAGACTGTAAGACGCGTCTTATGGCTAAAAAAGGGGTACAAATTCTATGAATTTTTCATTGCCTACACTTAAAGATTTAGTATTTAAATATATTACATAAATATCTGGAATATATTCATTTGCAGTGATTTTTGGTTCCTTCTTCCGCTCTTTTTTGATAAATAACAATTTAAATAATATAATATGTAGATATAAATATAAATATTAATTTAAAAAAATTAGTTATTGATATAAGGTATGATTGTTACTTTGTAGAATTTTTTCCGCAGTGTATTTCTTTTTAAGATACAAAAGATATCAAGAGACTCCAAGTAAGAAGCGAGAAATCGCCGAGATGCCATTGTCGCGGTACTTCCCCTGTTCCGCTGTCCCTGCACAGCTGCACTTCCCTCTCTCCCCCTATTTGTTTTTGGGCAATCGAAGATTTTTGCCCCCTCACTTTTCACTTTTCACTTTCCCCCTGTTTTGCCTTTTTGTTCCATGTGCGTAAGAGTTTTCCTCGCGTGTGTGTGTGCCTGTGTGTGTTTATTTTTCGCCACATTGCGGCCATCGAGTGTAAACAAAGCAACTGCCAAGAGGGGCAGTCACAGAGGCGGGGACTGGAAGGGGGATTGGGACTGAGGTGGGGCAAACCAGGGGGATCCAAATCCAAGAGAGCATCGTCGCAAAGAACTCAACAATTTGACGCAATTAAAACGAAATGAGCACTGAGCGAGTGGGACGTCCACGGTGACTGCGACAACAGTTTGGTGTTGCTTGCAACACAGTGGCTTTGCAAGGGGG